GGGTGGGGGGGGTGAGGAAGAGAATAACAAAAAACGATGACGATGATGAAGAAGAAGAAGAAAACATCCTAATCAAATTGTTATTATTATTTAATTCATTCGAAAGCACACAACGAGACACCGTTCGTCATGAATTCAACAAAAAAATCATTCGTGTTCTCCTTTTCGTGTTTTCCAATTGTCATCAAAAAAAAAAAAAAAGAAGACTTCTCTAATTACCTAATTTTCTGATCATACTCATTCGCGTAATAACAATAGCGGGGCGGAGGAGGGGGGGACTACTTAAAAATGTTATTTATTCGTTTGCGGCTAATTGTATAAGTAGAATAAGAAAAGGTGATGTTGGGGGATGGCGAGGGAGGAGGGGTTAAGAATAAGGATGGTATTGGTAACAAAAGGGTGATGGTAAGGGAGATAGGGGGGAGGGGAGGGGGGAAACAATAATCGAGGCGTATCTTTCTCTACGTTCAATTATTGTTCATATTATAATAATAATATATGATTTATGGATATCATTATTTTGTTTGTTTCATATATATATATATATATATATATGTATTTAATTTTTTATGTATATATATATATATATATAGTAATCTAACTATTCATATATAATTATGTACAAAGTTATAGGGAGATGCTCGAAGAAGAAATATATTAAAAATAATGTGATAAAATGGGATCAATTAAAAAGGGTATTAGGGAAAAAGGGTGAAGTGATATTTTTGTTAATCGTAAAAAGGGGGACAAGGTATGTATATAAATTTATTGTTCCTGAAGAGTTTGTTTTAATCCTGTGATCTCCTTGTTTCCTTTCTTCCTTCCTTCCCATCCATCCATTCATCCTTTTTTCCTTCTCTCTCTCTTTTTGAATTTATTTATTTATTTTTCTTTTCTTTTTCTTTTCTAATCTCTTCTTCTCTGTCTGTCTCTCTCTCTCTCTCTCTCTCTCTTTTAGAGGAGACGAAATTCTAAGTGTGAAAAGGGGGGAGGAAAGGTGGGGGAGGAATTGTTTACACGACACACAAATCTTCTTCAAAATGTTGTTTTGTTTTTCGTGGCCTTGTATTCTTCTCCCCGCTCATCCTAATCGTTGGTTGTTGTTGTTGGTATTGTTGTTGTTGTTGTTGTTGTTGTTGTTGTTGGTAATGCCGCCTGCTGAACTTTTTAGTTGCTGCTTGCTGTTGCTGTTGCTGCTGCCGAAGTTTTGTTGCTGCTGCTTTTGCTGAACTTTTGCTGCTTCTGCTTCTGCTGCTGCTAGCTGGCTGGCTGGCTGGCTGGCTGGCTGCTGATTGGCTGGCTGATTGATGGGCTGATCTTGATGCTCTTTTTGCTTTTGCTTTTGCTCTTGCCCTTATAATCTCTTTTTTGTTTCTCTTTTGCTTTAACTGCTGTTATTAAACTGTTGCTGTTAGACGTCCGTGTATTTGCTCAGCTTGTCACGCAGCAACATGTTTTCGTTCTTTAACCGATCCAATTCTTGCCGTAAACCCATGTTCTATAAATAAAAATATAATATAATTAATAATTGTTTATATTTATTTATTTTTGTTTCTAATTTATATGTATGTATTTTATATATTGGTAGAATTATTCTAGAACACGGTATTTTATAATACGATTTAATGCTATAGATCAATGTTCTATAAATGAAAATATAATATAATTATAAATTGTTT